ATCAATAAGGAATACTTCTTCTATGTGCCATGTCCCTTTACATGGCGATCATGGCTCTTCACAACTTCCTGTCTTTTGTATCTCTTAGTATAGTTTGTCTTTTTCCTCTCTCTCCTAATCCCTGTTCTGCCAAAAAGAATTAATAAACAGAACACCTATGCTAATTGAACTAACCATGAAGTTACTAATGTTACGAGTGCTGAACTGTTATGTAATATTTGTTCTTCTACTGACTATTTAGTCAATGAATTCCAAATGTTTCCTCATAAGGAAACAGCTAATATAACTATAACCATTACCACATTTTTTTTTATCATTTCACCCAAGCAAGGCAATAAAGCCACAAGGGGTTACTGAATGTGAAAGAATATGAGAAAAAGAAAAACATTATTAAGAAGAGAGAACAATAAAAGAACTGGAATTAAGAAGAAAGAAGATGACAATTGACATATGTATTTGAGATTAACACAGAAGTTAATGCTGGACAATTTCCTCACAAATGAAGTAGAGACTTGAGGTACCCAATATGTGGCGAGAATACTATGGACTGAGCATGTGATTATGAGTAACAAGGAAGTTTTAAGGAAAATAGAAACAAAAGACACTTAGAATCAGAAAGAGAAATTTGAAAATCCTGCGACATATAATAAAAAGGAGGGCTTGGAGAATTTAACACTCACAAAACATATAGAGGGAGCAAAGAAAAACAATAATTGAGCTATATAACCAGTTTGTGTATATGGATAGCAGGATGTAAACAGAGAGGGATAATAAGGGACGAAACTAGTACTACAAAGAACAGGAAGCTGTAGAGAGCCATGATTGAAGAGACATACAAATGACAGAAGATTATATGAACTATGACACATAGTTGGTTATTTCATGTCATGTTTGCCCCTACACCTCATGGTATAAAATACAGGTTGCTTCTTCAATGTTGATCAATTGATTTGTTTTCTACAGTTTATCAACCCTTTGCAGATTATTTAAAGCCAGAAAATATTTTGAAATTTTAAGAATTTTTTTTATTTTTGAGATAATGATTTAGTGATACAAGTCTTACTAATTAACCCATAACTGGAGGCAGAAAAGGTGGTTTCATACCTTTCCCAAGGGTATTTGCATATATATTTGAATATAGCAAACCCAACTGAAATTGGAACTCGGCTCTCTGATTAACAATTCCCATCATTTCAGTACCTGCACATCCAAACTTACAACAAACACCTGGTATTCCCAAGCAGTCACCCATCAAAACTCAAGGTAATATTGCTACTCATGATACTAATAGTGTAAATAAAGCAATTAAAATTAAAATTTAATAATGATTGACAAAGTTTCACCCAATAAAAATTTATAGACCAACTACAATCTTAACTGCTTGAAGTCTAGGCTTAACTGTTATCTTTCCCACATATCTTTATAGACCACATTTTTCATCTTATTGTTCATACAGTAACCTCCTTCAGTAACCATCTACTTTGAGTGGCTCTTGAGCTTTGTATAGGGTGAAAAAAGAAAAAAAAATGGCAGTTTTATTTTGTTAATCTTGGTAACTATGGACATCAAATTGCAAAGGTAACTATGATAATTTTTTTATGGTGGATAGCAAATAAGTTTTTTTTTCTCAATTATTTTGTTTAAAGCCAATGACACTTAAGAGAAAAAACGGCTTATTAAATGAAAAAATAAGCTTTTGTGGTGATTCTGATATTTAGCCAAAAAGTTATATTCATTCATGCAGAGTATGAATGATAAATATTATAAAAGTAACAAAACAAAACAAAAAAACAATTAACCCTGTCAACTCTTAAGGGATTTTAGATTTAAATCTCTTGAGCCAAGAATGAATTATTGAAAAATCCAAATATGTGAAGTTAGATCAATTGCACTATCTAAAAAAAAAAACGTTGAAAATCAAGTATTACAAGTTGATTTTATATAGAAGCAAATTGATTTATTTTAAATAATACCAAATTTAGCCTCCTTACTATGGTCATTAGCAAAAGGAGCAGGCTAATATGCAAATTACAAATTGGAGATACCAAAATCAAACAAGTACAACAATTTAAATACCTAGGAAGTGTTTTAAAAGAGGACACAAAGTGTCATACTGAAATATGAAGGAGAATTGAGATAGTAAAAGAGGCCTTTCATTAAAAACAAAAATCTCCTCTAGTTATTCATGTGACAGGTGTTAATACCTTGTAGTGAAATACAGTGTTATCTAGTTACAATCACAATCAGGTGCTCATCTGGACTGTGTGTGAGTGAAACTTGCAGGTGCATTTGAGTGCATCCAGCCTTAAACGATAATAGTAATATTAGTACTTTCCTTATTAGGCAACATTTGGCATTCATTGACCAAACAGCTTGTACTACTTTTGGTTGAAATTTATTAAATCTTTCTATTAAACAATTTTTCATGAAAAGTTTTCTCAAGTCCAGTAACTGTTATTAAACTTTCTAGTATTGATAGAGGTTTCCTTCCTAACCTTTTATTTGAAGTAGTGTAGAATGTCAACATCTTAATTATATTATTTTCTTTGAGAAAATGTGTGATATTGAGAATATAGTGATTTTAACTGTTGCTGCTGTTGAAAGTCCTCAAGTGATGTGGTTTCTGTTATTTAGTACAGTTCTTTGTGAATTTGTAGTGCCAGTACACAAGGTTAAAAGAAATGTGGTCTTTGCTAAGATCTACACGTTTCACTTGTTCAAAGCCATTTATAAACATTGATCTTAGAAAGTGGTTATATACTGCAGACAGAGTTAATGAAAATACCAGTTAACATTTCATTAAGTGCCAATAAATATTTCAGATTATTTTTGGAGATATAATCGTATTTATTTCACCAAATTTTTTAAGAAAATTTTAAGCTAAGCTTCTCCAAGCAATTTCAAATCTTAATTTTAGTTGCATTATTTACACTGTTAGTATTCCTAAGTAGTAATATTATCTTGACCTTTTATGAGATGAAGCATTGTCAGCCATTATTAATTTACATTTTTGACTGGTATCCCTTTCACATTAATTCCAGTCTAGATTAGTTTTGATGAAAAGCAGCTGAAATTAAGAGGAAAGAACACTTAGCAATAAAATTAAGAATAGAGCTATTTACACATATTTAGTGTTAAGAGAGAAATTTTCTAATTAAAAAAAAATAGAAATATATAGTGAACCTTTATGAATTTCATATGAATTATACAAATAGTAAAATGATTATTTTAATTTGTTAAGAAAATCACTGTATGCAAAAAAGCTTTAATAAATTAAACGAATTTATTAAAAAAATGAAACCAGAAAAAGACAAGTTTACTTGAAGTAAATAGTAACAGTCAATGAAAAGTATGACACAGATATCCAAATGTGCATAAGGATAAGTGGAAAATTCTTTCAGAAACTAAGCAAAGTATTAAGAAACAGAAAAATGTCCTTAAACATTTCTTAGAAAGAAAAGAGTGTTGAACTGCTATATGATATCTAATCTCTTATGTTTCAGACAAAGAAACAGCCTAACATGCAAATTACACATTAGACATATCAAAATTAAACAAGTGCCAAAATTTATATTTCTAGGTGTTTTAACAGTAGATGGAAAATGCAACACCGAAATCCGAAGGATAACAAAAAGTGCCTTTCATATGTTAAGACACAGTGTTGATAACAGACATAGAAAGGAAAATGCAGAAGCTAGTAGCAAAGGAAAATGAGAAACAAGGACTATCAACTGTAAGAAGATTGTATGGTTATCAACAAAAGGAGCAGCCTTAGATTCAAAATATGAATTGAAGATGCCAAAATCAAACAAATACAAAAATTTAAATATCTGGGAAGTGTTTTAACAGAGGACAGAAATTTGATACCGGAACCTGAAGGAGTATTAAAATAGTGAAAGTTGCATCTCAAAAGCTAAGCAAAGTGTATTAAGAAACATGAGAATTTCATTGGAAACAAAGAAAACAGTAATGAAGAGTTATGTCACCCTATATGGCAGTGAATGCTGGACAATTTTATCACAGATGGAGAAGGGTCTTAAGGCAACAGAAATGTGGTTTTACAGAAGGATGCTGAGAATACCATGGTCTGAACATGTGAGCAACAATGAATTTTTAGAGAAAATGGAAACAAAAAGAAGACTTATACTTAACATCAGAAAGAGATAGTTGAAATTTCTAGGGCATATAACGAGGAAAGAGGACTTGGAAAATTTGATACTCACAGGAAAGATTGAAGGCAAAAGGGACAGCAGAAAGCAGTGCATAAACGACCTAACAAGTTTGTACAAATGGTTGGCAAAACAGAGATTAGAAAATATAGCAAAAATACAAGTTATACTGAGATCTACAAAGGAGAAGAAGTTGTGAAGAGCCATAATAACCAATGTCCTAAAGGGACATAGCAAATAGAAGAAGAATATGAGAGTGGATGTTGAACAAAATGACTTGAAACAACAAAGATGTGATTCAAACTATTAATGCTGTGAATACCTTAGGCAGAATATATGAGCAATGAGGAAGTTTTAAGGAAAATATGAACTATAAGGAAACTTTTGCTAACAATCAGAAAGAGAAGCTGAAATTTCTGGGATTCATAATAAGGAAAGAAAGCTTGGAGAATTTAATACTCACATAACATACTGAAAGCAAGAGAAGCAAGGAGAAAGAGTGAGTAACCTACTTGACAATTTGAATGAATAGATGGTAGAATAGGGACAAAGAGGTAAAGGAGCAAGACTGACTTAGAGCAGCAAAAGACAGGAAGTTGTAGAAAGTGATGATCTCCCTTATCCTGAACGGATATGGAATATAAAAGAAAAGGCATAGAGTATGAAATACTGGCTTCTATTAATTAAAACAGCAGAAAATCATATGAATAGATAAAAAGTCAAAGAAAGTAAAAAAATTAAAAAGATTAAAAGTTAACATGTGAAAAAGAGATTTTAAACTTAAGAAGTTTAAGATTAAAAGGAGATACACTAGTAAAAAAATCAATTGATTCATAGTAAAAAAAAAAAAAAAAGAATAGATGGAAAACAAAAATAAAGAAAAAATGTAGAAAGAAAACGAAAGAGAAAAAACAGGAGAAAGAGAAAAAACAGAAAAAAAAAAAAAAAAACAGAAAAAAAAAAAAAAAAAAAAGAAAAAAAAAAAAAAAAAAAACAGGAGAAAAGAAAAAAAAAAAAAGAAAAAAAAAAAACAGGAGAAAAAGAAGAACAGGAGAAAAGAAGAACAGAAGAACAGGAGAAAGAGAAGAACAGGAGAAAGAGAAGAACAGGAGAAAGAGAAGAACAGGAGAAAGAGAAGAACAGGAGAAAGAGAAGAACAGGAGAAAGAGAAGAACAGGAGAAAGAGAAGAACAGGAGAAAGAGAAGAACAGGAGAAAGAGAAGAACAGGAGAAAGAGAAGAACAGGAGAAAGAGAAGAACAGGAGAAAGAGAAAAAAAAAACAGAAAGAGAACAACTAAAAAAAGTGAAAAAACAAAGAGAAAAAAACAGAAAAACAAAAACAAAGAAAGAGATGTAACAAAGCAGTAGTAAAACAATCTGGTTAGTACTTGTGTAGTAGATTTTATAGCCACACCACGTCGTTTCTCATGGATGGCAGAGTAACTGTTTATCAGCAAGTGGATAAAAATGAGTCCAGCAGAGAGGAGCTGCAGATTATAGCATGTATGCAGCCAACACTATTGATCTGTTCCACAATGACAGGCATACAGACAAATGGACAAACAGAGAGGGAGAGAAGGACGAACGGACAAAGCTGGTTAGCTGGCATAGCCTCCAATATCTCTAAGCATACAGAAAATATTCCATATGTCAGAAAAAAATATCTGAAATAGGTTGCCTTCATAATCAATGATTTTAAGGGAAAAAAAGAAAGAAATCATTGAGCTCTGTTTTTTTTTTATTATTTTTTAAGTATTGCTGATACACAAAAACTTAATTAAGAAATAATGAATATAAAATAAAAAGGAGCTTGTATAAATGTTAGTTTAATTGTTGCAGTTGTAGAAAGATATGTTCAGAAAATATTGACTTGATAAATACTCTAGAAAGCTGACATTCGAATATGTCTATACAAGGTCTGCTCAATTAAAAAAAAAATGTGAAGTGCCACATTAATCACAGAAAATTAGCTGTGGGCTGCAAGAGTAAAAATTTTTGAGTAAATTCAAAAGTTCAAAAGGAATACCTATTTTAGGCGATGCTGGTTTTCTGGGTCATTTAGACAAAAGTTTCCGATTTTAGAAACAGGTATTTGTAAAGATGAGATAACATCTCATAGGTTTAGAAAAGACCTTCAAATATATGAGAAATATTTCTCATTTTTTATACAGGGTGGTAGCACCTGCTAGTATCCCAACTATGGGCAAATAGCAAACTGGGAATCAAAACACTATGAAAGTATGAAAATATATTTTCATAGTAAAAATACCAGAAATACATTTTTGTAAATAAAATTACTAATGCTCCCAAGAAAATTAAATTTTGGCATTAAATGACCCATAAGGAGTTGATATGCCGCTAAACAAACTCTTCTCATTTTTTATATAGATATTTGTAATTTTGAGATAATTCTTGTAGGTTTTTAAGTATTCTTCTTTCTTCCTTCCTTCTTTTTTCATCAGCAACAATAGTAGCTGCAACAGCAATCTTTCTCATCCCAGATAACAGCCCCTTTTATTGCCTGAGTGTGTTTGCTATACAACAAAGAAATGATTCAAACAGGTGGATTCAAACTGGATCAAAATAAACTTCTTTGAGGGTGTATACTTTTTATCCCCATTGATTAAAAACTCTTGGCGAATAGCTTATTCTTAATTGAGTCCAGTAATATTTAAAAAAAAATGTAAAGGGTCACACTGGTTACAAGAAATTAGCCGCAGATTGCAAAGGTAAATTTTTTAGAGTAAATTATAGAGTAGGTGAGAGATAGAAACAAATATAGAGAGAGGGGTGGAGAATTTTTTTTTCTCTAGAGTTAAAAGTATTAATTAGATACAAAGACAGTGTGAAATATTGGTTGAATAAAGTTCCACAAAACTGAATTTTTCCACAAAAAAAATTGACTATTTTGAAAACATTTCATAAGCCGTGTGAGACTCGCAAGACATATTTTGTATACATTATACATGAGAAGTTTAACAAACTAAACTTAATAATTATTATTTGTAATTTTATTCACCTGATTTTCTCTTTATTTATAAACATAAAATAATTATTATAAATATTATTATTATTATAAACATGACATCAAATGGACATAAAAAAATGACTATTTTAAAAACCTCTCATAGGCCATATATGGATACCAACTTTTTAAAGGGTTGTATAATTTGATATGCTTAAGAACTTTGAAAGTGTTAATGATAGATGACAGAAAATGTGACAGAAATTTGAAAAAACTAAAATAATAGAAAATATTTTACTAGAAAGAAAGAGTGCTGAACTACTGCTGTATCTAATCTCCTAATCATGGCAGTGAATTTTGAAAAATTTCCTTACAGACTGTTGTAAACTAGGGAAGGTTACTGAATAGAATAATCAAATGAAAGTTGGTAATGAATGATAATACTTAGGACAAGAACAACACACATAAGATTCGCCAGTGGCATGTAGAAGTAGTCAACTGCTAGAAGTGAGTCAAGTGAATTTCACAATGAATCTCCAACTGCAGGATATCTACCAACTGTCCCACGCGGTCACATGTGACACAAGGCTACATTTAATATGGGGTATTTGAGCCTATAGGCTCGGCCAAAAATTCCCCATAGACCCAGTAAAAAACAGGGTCAGATAGCTGTTTCCAGAGGCGAGACTCTGCCCTTTGACATAGCCTTGTCTAGGGATCCTCTCTACCTGAAGACAGAGAGTTTGACCAGCACAGCTGGAGATGAATCTCCAACTGCAGACCAACATACAGTATTTACTACCATTATTGTCCATAAGTATGCTACAATATAGACAATGAACAAAGTCAAAGTGGCAGAGATGTGGTTCTAAGAGTGCTAAGAATAATATGGCCTAAACATGTGAGCAACAAGGAAGCTTTAATGAAAATGGGAACTAAAAGGCTAATTATACTTAAAATCAAACAGAAAAAGTTGAAATTTCTCAAACACATAACAAGGAAAGAGGGCTTGGAGAATTCAACACTCATGAGATATAGTAAGAGCAGGGGAAAACAATGAGTAACCTAGGTAATGAGTTTCTGTGACTGGATGGAGGGTGGGGACAATAAAGAATATTAAAGGAGTCAAATGTTGCTTAGACCTAAAAAAGAGTGTAATTTGTGGAAAGTAATGATCGTCCATGGCCTGAAGGGACATGGCATAGAAAAGAATTTTTTTTTGTTGTTCATTATGTTTATATAACTCAGTCTTTTTTAATAATGGTGCTATTGAGATGTCCACATAAAGATAAAGAATAAAATCAGCCATTTCCATATAATAAATATTTGGCATTCATTGACTGAACACTTAACATTACTGTCGGTTGAAATTTATAAAATCTTTGGCTTGACTACCATTTACTAAGCACACTTAGGAAAAGTAGTAATGATTTATTACCTGCTTATTCATTTTTTTTTTAAATGAAAGAATTGAATTAAATTTCCTAAACTAAAAATAATAGATGAAATAACAATATTTATGAAATTTAGAGGAGAAGGTCAGAATTAATTCATTGCTAATTAATTGCTATATTAATTCTTAATTAATAAATCACTACAGTTTTTCCAAAGCAAGCCTGACAAATGATAAGTCAAGCCAATTTTTCAGGAAATTAAACTTTTATGTTTACTGTTAAAGTTTGTTCTAGTATTAATGGAAGTTTCCTTCCAAACCTTTTGCTTTTGGTAGTGTGGAAAGTTAACAACTTTATTCTATCATTATTTACAGACAGAGTGCAATGGATAAATTGTTATCTAAATTATACAAAAATGAAAATAACACTGACATCTTATTTTAACAGATATATTTACCAAAATTACACAAAGATATCCTGAAATACTAAAGAGTAAATTTATTCAATAAAATCACCATTGGCTTCAACTCTTCTGGACGGTCTCCTTGTTTAAGTTGGTGAATGCTGCCATAATCCTTGCCTTCACTTCATCTTTAGTGCTACAAGGAGTTTTGATGGTCTCTCACTCAACTGTGCACCACATGTAATAATCAAGGAGGTTGCAGTCTTGGGAGTTAGATGGCCAGATGTAAGAGGTGATGTGGTTGCCGTAATTGTATGACAACCATGACTGAATTCTCCTGCTTGTGTAGCATGGTGTAGAGTCATAGAGTTTTGTTTTTTTTTCTCACAGATGGTGCCCAACTTATCCTACTGTACTATGCAGTCAACAAAAACAAAAAAAAATGCATGCACAAAATTAAAAATATAAAATGGCAACAATTTACTCATCACACTTTGGACATATCTAAATCTAATGATGAGGTATATATACCACAGTTAACAGGTTTTGATTAAGGAGTTCAGAATCTACACACAAGAAAATGACAACAAAAATGAGGATAAGTAACTATATTCAATAGGAGAAGATAGGTTTGCCTATCATGTAATTCACACTCTGTCCTAGTCTTTTGAACAAGAGTAGAGGTTTATGCCTTGTTTGTTATTTAGGATTGGGTTTCTGGTTCCTTCAAAATCTTCTCATTCTCTTTCACACCCAGTAGATCCTTGCATCTTAGTGGCATTATCCTCTTGCTTTGGGTAAATTGATTAAAAAAAAATATGAAAAAAAAAACACAATAAAGAAACATAAATATAAGATAAATCTAACACCAGAAATACTGTAGAAATTAAACATTAAATAAAGTATTTCATATTTTGTTTGAATAATTGAAATCCTTGAGTTTCTGATGATGTCTCCTGCATCTTAGAGGTCAATGGCTTTACCAGTGGGAAGAGGAACAAGGTAACCTTAAGATCCCTTGTGCAAAACGAACTGACAAGCCATTGCACTATTTTGCCTTGAATGTCATCATGATCCACAATTACAACAGAAATAGTGGGAGTGGTGACTACAGGGGCATAAAAATGTGCTAACTGAATAAATGAATAACGTTGCCTCATTTTAGCATATCCATTTTTCAGTTTTTGTCAAGTGTTTAATCCATAGAAAAAAATAAAATAAAATGGAGAAGAAATATTTTTTTTTTACAAAAAAAAAAAAAAAAAAAATATTCAGAAAATGGATAGGCCAAAAAATATTAACAACATCAAAAGTACAAAGGAAAAGTTTAATCATCCAAGAAAACTTTGAAATGTTAATGATGCTTCTCAAATTTATAAAAATTAAGAAGATAAAGTTTGAAGTTAGTGAAACTGACTTTGGCAAAATTTGAACTTAGCTCTCTAATTCTATTTTATATATATATATATATATATATATATATATATATAAAACCATTACTACCTAAAAAAATTACACGAAAATCATAACAAGAATACAAATCAAGCCTGCATGCACAAAGGGAAAATACAGAGACTGTATAAAGTCATATTTGTAATTAAATCTGATTTTTATCTGAGTACAGTTTGTATTTGGTAGCTAGTTTTAATTAATATTCATTTAAAATTATATTATATGGTAAGTCATAGTTACCATGTCTGAGTGATTTGATACCAGAAATTGAACTGAACTTAAATATTAATAGAATCTTAAAAATATGTTTCAAAATTTATTATCAGATTATAGATATTAAAAATCGTCATTGTAAAAAGTCACTATTGGTAATGGTATTAAACATTTTTATATAA